ATTCAATAGCAAGCGGAACTGAGGTATAAGTTGCAAATTCCTGAAGCAGCGTCAACAATGAAATATTTTGTAAATAAATGAATTGGTATACGTAAAACAATCCGTTAGCACACACAATGGCAGTTGATTCATACAAAATGCTTATGATAACGATATCAGCCATAAGTCTCTCTCGGCGAGGAGTGCGAAAACTTCTTCAAGGAGCTGATATTCTTTTCAAGATTACATGAAAAATATGATCACTGAAGACCATGGCGCTTCGTTCTAGAACCTCTACCGCGCAGTAAATTATTCCAAGAGCAGCGATGAACTTGATGTTTTCAAGTTCTGCCTGCATTACTCGAAACATGATCGCCGATGCAAAATACAACGGCACTAAGAAGATGTACGAGTATCCTGGATGAGCAATTTTCTTCAAGCGTTGAGTGCAAAGTCGTAAGATTACCTTAAAGATAACTCCAAAGAGAGGTGAAAAGAGTGCAATCAGGAGTTTTTCCATGTTCAGTTTGTTCGTTGTACATTGGATAAATAAAAGATACTGCAAAGATGCCAATAAAGAAAGTGAGGCAATAGGGTGTCGTCAATTTGATAAATTAAGTCGCTCTACTTGACAGTTTTCGGAAGTAATTTGTTAGAAGATAAACTTGCCAACATATGCTACTTAGAGATATAATGTTGAGAGGAATCTTCTGAAAAACAGAAAGTTGGGAATGAGATATTCCAAAGACTTGAAGGACAACACGATACACTGTATCCACGCAGGAAAGGACAAAAGCAACAAGAACGAGTTTTCTTTTCACGCCCTTTAACTGATACGGTCGAAAAAGAAAAAGCATTCCTACAAAAAAACCACATGTATCGTAAGGGACGTAAGAGATTATTACGCATAAAAGGCTAATGAAGGCTGGAGTTAAAAGTGAAATAAATGCGCCGATGTACATTGATTGACAAACTGTGCGAAGAACGGACGGTCTGAATCATTTCCAAGCCATTTCGACATCTTCATTTTGCTGTTCGTCTTCATCTTCGTCCGGTGAGCTTGCGTTAATGACCCAAAATCTTACTCGAGAATTACCGACTGACAAGAGATCATAATTGTCGTCCGATGGCGGTGACTATTCCTGATAAATAGGTTTATCAACAGGCTGACAATTCCACTCTCGACCCTCACTTAAGCTATCGTTGTAACCAAAGGTCTCCACTTCAGGCTTATCAGGGTCGTAATGCTCTGTCACTCCTTGTGTGTTTGACGAAGTGGATGACAAACTCTACGCCTTTGAAAAATTGTACTACGAAATTCTGAATGAACACACCCCTCTTAAGCAGACTTTGTTTTAATTTTGAACACATCAATCAAGCACAAGTAGAAAAAGCACTTTTGGACGTGAATGTCCGTAAATCGTGCGGCCACGATATGCTGTCTCTAAGGCTTGTGAAGGAATCGGCATCTGTCATAGATAAACCTATCACTAATATTTTGAACACCTCCATTGAACAAGGTTGCTACCCCA